ATTAAGTTTCAGGGCCGCTATCTTCTTCTTGACAAAGATACAGGCCCTGGGCCTTGTGGATGTGGCATCATAGTAAAGTGAGCCGCACCCCGTGTTTAGCCCTCCTACACGTTCCTTGTGAATCCAAGGTTCTTGTATGAGGGCTATATCTGTCTGCCCCATCGTTAGGCGGCACAAGAGAATGTCCGTTGCCGCCTTGCAATGTTGCAAGTTGATCTGCGAGAACCTGGTACCATCTGGCACCTTGTTGGTGTCAGACGTGGTCCGGTCTCGCTTGGCACGGAGTAGACGTGTTATGTTCCCCGCCGGGGCCCGTTACGCCTACTTGTGAGAGTGGTCGCTACTGAGGCCTATCCCTCTCTTTCCCCTGGTGCCGGCCTTCAGGGTCTGCGTCAGGGTACGTTGACTCCCCTTTTGCACACCCAGAAGTCCGGTACGCTTCGTCGCCTCCGCCGTGGTCGGCCTTCCCCTTGGCATTACAGGCGTGGGGATGCTCCCACTGGACAGAGGTTGCGTTCCGGCGGCCTTCGGTCCTTGTGAGGGTCCGGCAGCCGCCATCTCTGTGTTACCTCCCTTGGGTGGGGTGGGTGGGAGGGTGTCGACGCAGGGGGCGAGGGTCTCCGAGGTAGCCGTTGCCAGCGCCCTGGGCTCCCCTTCTCCCCCATCCGCACCGCTCGTCCCCGCCCCACCCTTTCTCCATCGCCGGGGCTGTTAGTCCCGGTTTATTCCCGGCGACCTTGTCAGGGTTCTTCGCATCCTCCATGGTCCCAGCAGGTCCCTCTCTGAAGAGTGCCCTGCGTCGTCCCACGTGGACCTCAGAACCCTGTCTTTTGATGAGGCTATGTGACGCAGGGTCAACCCCCAGGAGAGTTACCGAATGCGGTCCCTCCCTTCTGCTCCACACCCTCCACAGGTTAGTGCGGAGCCCTGGGTTCTGACACTCCTCCGTTGCCACCGGAGGGACGGGGATGACTGTCACCATCCTTTTTAGCTTAGAGAGGCGCCGGCCATCCAGCACCTGAATGTCCGCCCCCTCCCACGGCTTGATCCTGGTGGCAGTGGCCCTCAGCCATTCCACCGCTCCGGTGTCCGCGCAGGTCACTAGAAGCAGGCCCCCTCCGAACCGCCACTCGTCGAAGCGCGGCATGGTCTCCCCTTTTTGAAGCCCACACAACGCTCCCACAATCGCCTGCTCGATGGCGGAGGCCTGCGCCTCAGTTGAGTTCGGGTAGTTGGCCGGTGCGATCGCCAGCCTCCTCTCCGCCGTCAGCGCCTCACTGAAGCTTTTTGGCGAAGGAAAGACCCTTTGTCTTTTCTTCGCGCAAGGCTGGGTATTTGGGGAAACGGATGGTCGGGCCCCCCCTCGCAGCAGCCGTCGCCGGGGCCATCCCCGCCTTGCACGTGGTCTCAGCGGTGGCAGTCCCGTCGGAAGTCCCTGGCAGCGCTAAGCGCGCCCTACGGGCCTTCTTCCTGGCTGTTCCGCTCAGCTTTACCTTCTCCTAGTTTTCTCCCTGGTCGTTCCCAGTCGCGCCGGAGGAAGGCTTCTCATTGAGGGTAAGCATGTCCAGAACCGGCAAGGTTGTGACCTCGCCTGCCGCGGACATGCTCCCCCCAGAACCACCCGTCAGCGGTGTTTCGGTGGCGGTCCCCAAGACTGGGTCCCTTCCCTCCTCAACCAGCCCGCTACCGGGTGGGTTCTTGTAGGTTTCTGTTTCTGTGTTTGTGTCCATGTTCGTGTCCATGTTTGTGTCCGAGTTTGTCTGAGTGTTTCCCGAGTTGTTGTTGTTGTTTTTATTATTTTTGTCCATGTATGTCCCACGAGTAGTCGGGAAGTATAGGTCCACCCCTGCAGAGCCCGCTTGCAGGGGTAAGGCTAGATACAATGGGGGGACGCCTGGTACCCCAAGGGCATCGTTCGTGACACCATTACCCCGGTGCCATCCAGCTCTCGGCACGATTGCTTACACCTTAGCTTGGGGAGATGGTCCGTGACGGGGCTTTAGTTCCCCTCCGATGGTTTTTAGGCCTTCAGGGGTCCCTTATGGCACCCGTTGGCCGGGGCATCTCTGACGACGGCCACCGGCTTGCTATAGACCGAGGTCGTCGTTAAGGTCAGTGTCCCCGCCGTCGCGAAGGTGCACGTCGCCGTCACTGGCATGGTGGGGGACGCTTGGGTGGTAGATGCGCCCCCATCCTTGTCATTCCTCGGCACAGGCGGGAGGGAGGTCGCTCGTGCCATCCTCCTCGTCGTCATGGTTGTCGTGACGGTCGACGTGCCCCTGGTCACTTCAGCGTAGGTGACGGCGGAGGTCACCTTCCTGGGGACTGCTGTCCGTTGGGGCGGGCCAGGTTGAGGAGGCTCCGTCATAGCCCGGGTGCTACTTCTCTTCGTCCCCGGGCTCTTCTCCATTTCCTTTATGGGGGGGGGGGGGGGGGGGTCAAGGTGGTGGATGCCCCCCCGCTCGGCTTCCTCATTGACACTGACCCGCCGCAGGTCCTTTTGGCGGCGCCGATCCCCGCTGGAGGTGTGGTGAGATCCACGGTCGGCGGGGTGGCAGGACTCCCCGTGGATGGAGGTCGTCCATCAGGAGGGCTGACCGGCGTCCCACTCTTTCTGGTAGTCGTTGTCTCTGCCGTTGTTTTAATGGCCCAGCCCGTCAATAAATTCCTCCCCGTCACCGTGGAGGTGATTACTGGTTTCCCCTTCGGCGCATTGCTTGGTTTAGCAGCCACCGTGGTCCGGGAGTTAGTTGAGGTAACAGTTTTCTTGGCGCGCGTGAGCGCGCCTCCACGCGTGGAGGGTGCCGCCGCTTCCAGTGGGAGCGGAGAGGACCTCTGCGTCGTCTCGGCCAAGGCCACGTCGAAAGAGGGTCGCTCCTCGGCTGAATCCCCTCCAGCCGAGGGTGCACCGCCGCTAGTTCTCCCCGCGGAGGCAGATGACCGCGTCCCAGCGGCACGAAGCACCGCACTATTTGCATGGGAGTCTGCGTGGGGCTTCCTCACCTTCTTCAGCGCACAAGCACTGTCGTCGGTGAAGAAGCATACCCCGCAGACCCACCTTCTGCTAGCGCCACGATGGTGGAGGCGCAGATGCTTGCCAAGGTCCTCGTACCGCTGGTACACGGCCACCCTCATGCGAGACGGGGGTGCCCCTTCATTACGGAAGGGGCACGGAAAGGTTTCTGGTGGGGGGAAGGTTATAATGATTTCGTTGCCCCGGGCGGTGCAAACCGGGTGGCGGTTCGTCGTCGAAGTCATTTAAAATAATAATTATATAGTAATTAAATAAATGAATAAAGTAAATAAAATAGTCAATATAATATAAAACAATAGATACTAGTGTAGAATGTAGGGACTCCCCAGTCAATAATTAGAACCTAGCACTAGAATAAATAGATAAAATAAACAAAATACAGAAATAAATAAAGTCAAAAAAATAATAAAATAAAGCGGAAATATATACCTAAATAATAGGTATATACGTCATGGAAATAAAATAAAATAAATAGGATAAAAGTAAAATCAAAATAGATTCAATAGGTCAAAATAATAAAAATAAAATAGATAAAATAAAATAGAATAAAGCCTTAATCTAGTGACTAGATTAAATCAGAAATAAAAGAACAAAAACGAGCGGAACGAAAAGACGACCGTGCGAGTCGCTCTCCGCGATAATTTGCAAATTAAATCCGCAAATTACCGCACACAGGGGACTAGACTGTTAATATCGAGTTACGCAAGTTGTAAAGGGACCTGTATACCTCGATAATTGATCGGAAAAAAGCTAATTAAACTACTGCAAAATCGAAGAATTTCTAGCTAAATAGCTAGAATAATGGATAAAGTCTACCCGTAACGGTCTAAATGTCTATATTTAGCTTATAAGGGAGCACAAAAACTACAGCAAAAAGCGGATTTCGGCAAGTCGGTTAGTGGGACAAACAGCTGTTATCGGTTTAAACGACCAGCGTTCTCACGGATAACAGTTAAACATAGAATCAAAACAAAGCAAACGCGAGCAAAGCCGCACCGGAATCGGATACGGCGCGAAAGGGTTTCGATATATCGAAACAGTCCGCCTGGAGTCGACAGCACTTTGCCTGCTCCAGGTGGCACCACTCTACAGTAACGCAACACTACGAAAAGCCACCACCAGACTCCCAAGCTCCACTTACCGCGCAGTCAGTCGCCGCTGTGCTGAGCGAGTCGCATCGCCGTTGGAAAAGCCAGACGCGATCGCGGATAAAAAAATAAAAATACAAAAAAAAGAGTAGAGAAAAGAAAGAGGAGTCAGAATATTAAGAGAGGAGATGAAAGAGCAATGTATGTTTGTAATATATTATGGTGAGCCGCGTCCTGCGGTAATGCAATACAGGTGCGACCCGTGTCGGAGTCGGAGCAAGCTCCGAAATCCGACCGTTTTCAAAAATGAGATTAATATTCTGACTCCCCAATGGGGAGTGTATCAGATATTAAGCTGATAAGAACAGATAAATTGCGCTTTATTTTAACAATTAATGTTTCCCCAGAGGCTCGCCTCTGGGGGGGTACACAAACAACAGTCTAGGGCGTAGCCCTTCAGATGGCAATAGATAGGAAACGAATAGTCTAATGCAGCGGGAACATTTTCCCGTTGCATGCGTCACGTTTAACATATCGTGCGAGGTTCGCCATTTAAATATTGAAAAGAAGGAGCTATTGGCCCGCTTATGTCTTCTTTTTTAATATAATTATTAGTTATGCACAGGTGCATGGGAATAGATATAAATAAAAATAGATGTAAAAAATAGATATAGATGCACATGTATAAGGAAATAGCAGGGACATAAGTAGCGCAGGTAGAATAGAGAGAAGTAACACCGATAAGAACACCGAGTAGAGCCTAGGCTGAATGGGTTGACTAAACAAATATGATAAGAATAGAAGAATAAGAAGAAAGAAAAGAAAACTAAAAGAAGAGAAAAAGACAAGGCATATTGCGCGTACTTTACTCTCGGCGTTCAGACGTGGGGAGGAGATGAGGGTACGCGGGCCTCGCCTTCCAGTTCGTCGACGTTGACCCTGTTGCTATTATTATGGTTTTCATTATGGTTTTCAGTACTGGACACCGTGTACTGTCTAATGCCCGAGACATGCTCAACATACATGTCCCGGGACCACGCGATTGTTTCAGCGACCATCAGTTTCCGCATCAATGATGCGTATCGCGGCGAGATTCTAAGTAGTTCCAGGAGGAACTCGTTCCCCGGATCCCAGGCGCCCAGGGCGCCCACAATGAAAGCATCTAGGTACACTTTGTAGCCGCGCCCTTTCAGAGAATCAGCTAGTTGCTGGTACTTGTTAATTTTCTCGAATCTTGCCTCTACGATGGCCTGCATCGTATTTTCGAAGGGCACGGCTACATCGACCAGTACAATGGTCTTCGACGCTTCGTGCGTGACCACGATGTCCGGGCGAAGCGCCGAAGACTCTCCTGTCGCCCCGGGGACACGCCTGTTGATCCGGATCTCACCGGGAAGCCGGATCGCCTTACTCAACCTCAGGACGAGGTTGTCGTGCCGTCTCTGCCTGGCGGCAGAATGAGGACCGCAGTGGCAGAGCACATGAGGAAGGCCTTCCAGCGTGTATCCGCATCGCCTGCAGCGCTTATCATCGCTCCCCCATCGACGGGCTCCGTTTAACGGGAGCACGTCGAGGCGGGCGCGATGGATAAACCTCCAATCAGCAAAGCGGATAAACGCGCCACCCCTCATGAAGCGATTGCTCACCGCATGTTGGGTGGTTGCCTGGAAAACCTTACCTTGGTCCGACTTCCGAAGAAGCGAGGACACGTAGTGCTCCGTCACTGCAGCCCTCATCCTGGTGATGACATGTGCCTTGGCAAGAGGCGGCACGACTACCCGACGTCCGTTTCGGGATTCCATGACAATCGCGAGTTCAGCTCGATCATCGCACCACTCCCAGCGAAAACCGAGACGCGCTCCGGATCTCAGCGCGACGGACCGCACCCTCGACCAAAACGACGAACGACCAGTCGTTGGTCTTGACCAGTCCCCGGCCAAAGAGCCCGACAGGTACTGGGCAAGATCCCGATCAGTCGGAGCTCGACGAAGCTTCTCGCTCGCGGCAGCTTCCAGCGTGGACCTCGCGATACGAGCCACGACCGGGTCCTTAGCATTCAGCATCCTGAATGCGTGGGCCACGGCCGTGACCTCAGCGAGGTCTGCTATCGGAGGGAGCCCACATCCTCCCAGTGACGGGGGAATGTGGACTACCTCCGGGCTAGCGCGCTGGGGCAAGTGGAGCCATAGCTTAACCGTCCGCTTGATAGCCTTGTCAAGCTCCGACAGGATCGTTCGCCGCATATTGGCTCCCCTCAGCAGGAAATCGAGACGCGGGACAATAAATGTCGCCAGCGCCTCGACTCTCTGCCAGGGGGCAAGGAGTGAACTGTCCAGCGCGCCCAGATCCTCCAACACGCCTCGGATCGTGGTGTAGGGCGTCTGATCAAGCTGAACCCCGGTTGGGATCCCTAGGTGTTGGTAAGACTCACCTTTTTCCAGAGCCGGAACGGGTTCCTCCTGGATACGGTACACGGTGTCCAGTACGTCGTCCCGGCCTCTTATGTGTAGGGTTGCACATTTCTTTGCATTAAAGGCGAGACCCAGGTTGGCTGCAATCTTCTCAATTTCTCGAAGCAAAACCCTCATCTCCTCTTCGCTCTCCGCCAGCAGCGCGATGTCGTCCGCATAGGCGAGCTCCACAATCCTTTCTCCCGCGATGTTGTAGCCTGTTGTGGAGTCTTCGGCTGCGCGGACGACCGGCTCTAGCGCTAAATTAAACAGGATAGGGCTAAGGGGGCAGCCCTGCTTTACTCCCGATCTTATTGGGATTCTATCAGTGTACCCCTCAGCGGTACGGACCCTCGTCGCGCAGTCTGTATACATACTGGCGACGATATTTGTCATCGCCCGCGGCACCCCGGCGTTGGTGAGCGACTCCAGGATAGTGGCGTGCGGGATCGATCCAAAAGCATTGGAAAGATCCAGCCACGCCACCACCAGTTCCCCTTTTCTTCTCCGGGCGTCGGCGATGCATTCCTGCAGCACGAAGTTGTGCTCAAGGCACCCCTCGTACGGCAGGAAGCCCTTCTGGCCTCGTGAGAGCCGTCGGTTTTGTACGGCCCAGTGAGTGAGGCGGTCGGCCATAACAGCGGCGAAGAGTTTCGGCACAGTATCACCCATCGCGAGTGGTCTCCAGTTGGACAAGTCATCCCGGTCACCCTTCTTATAAATAAGAACGGTGTTTGACTCCTTCCAAACGCGCGGAATATGCTCCATCCTAAGACAGGCGTTGAATAGCGCCGTTAGAAGCGTGGCGCCTGGGTCGACATCGCGCAAATCACCGTAGGTTACGCCGTCGGGACCCGGAGAAGATTTCTTCATCCGGTCCAGGCGGCGGCTCACCTCGGTGGCCGTACATGTCGACACCAGAGCGTCACTCCCCTGTGCTGTCTCGTAATGGATAGTCGGGAGGGGCTCCGCGCGATCCCGGAGAGCATACATATCTGCGAAGTGTCGCTGGACTGCGTCCTTCGACACCTCACAGTGTGGAGAGGACCCTTTCAGGACCTCTCGCACCGCACGCTTCCGGTTCGCACGGAACAAGCGCTGAATGCGCGTCGCCTCCCGAACATATTCCTCGCGGTCGGCAGGAGTACCGGTCGTCGTCGAACTGTCCCTCGGACGGTGAGACTCGCCTTCCCTCCTCGCAGCCGGTCGTGGCCGGCCACCCCTCCCACTGGTGGCTGGATTTGCGGCCCGTTCGGTATCCACGGCCCGATGCTTAACGAAGAACTCCGCCACTTTCGCAGCGAAGTCCTCCAGCGCCTGAAGCGTCGTCACCGTTTCGGCTTCCTCAGTGAGACCTGCCCTTTCGACACCTATCGCTGCCCTCGTGCTCCTACGGAGCCCTTCGGGTCGGTCGGTGTCGGGGGTCGGTTCGTCGAGTCGGCCGGCGTGTGAGACGGCATCAGGGAGCCGTGTGTCCCGACGCGGATCGCGCCCTCTCCGGGATCCCCGGCGCTCAGGTGAAGTCGGGGGCGTCATCCTCCCCCGCCGGTGCGTCGCGGGCGACTGTGGGGCCCGACCTCTGGGGGGTACTCTTTGTGTAATTGTTTCGCGGGAGCTTCTATTGTTAGTGTTGTTAATGGTGCCCCCTCGGCCCCTCCTGTTCTGCTCATTCGATCTGAAAACAGAGCCCCGGTTTGACCCGGGGCAATTAGTCGCGCTGCTGGCGGTTATTCTTAAACTAGGACGATCACAAGAACATTGACTAGAAATATTGTTGTTAAAGTCGATAGGGCTAGTAGCCCTATCGACAGTCAGAGGTTTACTACGAGGCCTCTGCTCCGTCTCCGTAGGGGTCCTTACCACGCGTGACCCCCAGACCACATCCTCTTCGTGTTGCACTTGCTGATCTTGCCGTGGCTGCCGCGCCGGCGTCTTCGGTGACGGGGTCGTCAATGCTCCCTCCTCTTGTTGCCGCCCAGCCCTTCTCCTCCTGTTCCGCGGCGTGACGTCCCGCCAGTCCTCCTCCTCTTCACCTACTTGTCTTCTTCTTCCTCCTCCTCCTCCACTCTTCGGTCCCTCCACCGGCGCCGCTGGTATAGCTGGCGACGCCTCGGCTATAGCAGGGAGAAGGTTCCTTCTCCCGGTGCGCCCTGTAATGGGGGACGGTAGGGTGGCAGGTCCGTCCCCCTTCATCTTCTTCTCTAGTGTCGACCCGGGCGACAGAGTCTTCGCCCGGGTACTTCTTCTCGTTACAGGGCGCTCCTCCGGCGTCTTCTGGGTGGCCATGTCGCTCACCGTCGCACATCCCGTTGGCGGGCTCCTCTTTCCCGTGTTCCTTGTCCTGGGGGGGGTCCGAGGGGGCTCCGTGGTTGCCCTGGCAGCCCGCGCCCTGGTCGTCGGCGCGGACTCCAGGAGCACCGTATCCTCCTGTATCCTCTTCTTGAACCCCCCGGCGAGGTTCCCCCCCCGCTCCTTCTTGTTGCGACGGTTACGACTGCCACCGGTTTGCTATAGACCGAGGTCGTCGTCAGGGTCAGTGTTCCCGCCGTTGCAAAGGTGCACGTCGCCACCACTGGCCTGGTGGGGGGCGCTTGTGCTGTGGATGCGCCCCCGTCTCCTTCTTTTGACACGGGCGGGAGGGAGGTTGCCCGTGTCATCCTCCTCGTCGTCATGGTTGTGGTGGTGGTCGACGTGCCCCTAGTGACCTCTGCATAGGTAACAGCGGGTGACACCTTCCTGGTCGTGGTGGTGGTGGTGGTTCGTCGGGGCGGGCCAGGTTGAGGAGGCTCCGTTGTCGCCCGGGTGCTCCTTCTCTTTGCCCCCGGGCTCTTTTCCTTCTCTTTTAGTGGGAGGGTTAAGGTGGAAGTTACCCCCCCGCTTGGCCTCCTCATTGACACTGGCCCGCCGTTGGTCCTCTTAGCGGCGCCGGTCCCCGCTGGTGGGGTGGTGAGATCCACGGTCGGCGGGGTGGCGGGACTCCCCGAGGATGGAGGTCGTCCATCGGCGGGGCTGGACGGCGTCCCGCTCTTCCTTGTCGCTGTCGGTTTCACGGCCCAGCTCGTCAATAAGTTTCTCCCCGTCACCGATGAAGTGATTACTGGCATCTTCTTCGGCGCGGATCTAGTTTTGGCAGCCACGGTGGTCCGGGAGTTAGTTGAGGTAGTTTTAGCGGCGCGCGTGAGCGCGCCTCCACGCGTGGTGGTCCCTGCCGCTTCCAACGGTGACGGAGAGGGCCTCGGGGTCGTCTCGGCTGGTGCCGCGTCGGGTTGGGGTCGCTTCTCGGCTGAATCACCCTCAGCCAGGGGTGCACTGCCGCCGTCCCTACTGCTACTACTCGTGCTGACCGACGGCCGCGCCCCAGCGGCACGAGGCTCTGCACTACCTTTATGTGAGTCTGCGTGGTGCCTCCTCACTTTCTTCAGTGCGTAGACACTGTCGTCCGTGAAGAAGCACACCCCGCAGACCCACTTTCTTTTTGCGCCAGGATGGTGGGTGCGCAAATGTTTCCCAAGGTCCTCGTGCCGCTGGTACACGGCCGACCGGATCCAGTTGGACGGCACCCCTACGTTGCAGAAGGGGCAGGGGAATGTCTCGGGAAAGGGGAACGTAATTATAACATCATTTCCCCTGGCAGTGCAGCTCGGCTGAGGGCTCGTCGTATTACTCATATCAGAATAAAATAAATAATAAAATAAATAAATAAATGTATAAAATATAAAATAGAGTAATAGTCAGTTAGTAAAAAGAAAAAAGTGTAGGGACTCCCCAGTCAATAGTTGAAACTTAAAACTAAAAAAATAAATAAAGTAAAATAAAATAAATAAAATAAATAAAATAAAACCTTAATCTAGTGACTAGATTAGAGTTTATAAATAATAGCTGAAACGAAACGAAACGAAGACGACCGTGCGAGTCGCTCTCCGCGATAATTTGCAAATTAGATCTGCAAATTACCGCACACAGGGGACTAGACTGTTAATATCGAGTTACACAAGTTGTAAAGGGACCCGTGTACCTCGATAATTAATCGGAAAAAGAATAATTAATCTACTGCAAATAGAAAAATTTCTAGCTAAATAGCTAGAATAATGGAATAAAGTCTACCCGTAACGGTCTAAATATCTATATTTAGCCTATATGGGAGCACAAAAACTACAGCAAAAAGTGGATTTCGGCAAGTCGGTTAGTGGGACAAACAGCTGTTATCGGTTTAAACGACCAGCGTTCTCACGGATAACAGCTAACCATAGAATCAAAACAAAACAAACGCGAGCAAAGCCGCACCGGAATCGGATACGGCGCGAAAGGGTTTCGATGTATCGAAACAGTCCGCCTGGAGTCGACAGCGCTTTGCCTGCTCCAGGTGGCACCACTCTACAGTACGCTACACTACGAGAAACCACCACCAGACTCCCAAGCTCCACTTACCGCGCAGTCAGTCGCCGCTGTGCTGAGCGAGTCGCACCGCCGTTGGAAAAGCCAGACGCGATCGCGGATAAAAGAAAATAAAAATACAAAAAAGACTAGAGAAAAGAGAAGAGGAGTCAGAATATTTAAAAGAAAGAAATAGAAAAGAAAATATGTTTATAGTAGTATGTGTGGGCCGCGTCCTGCGGTAATGCAATACAGGTGCGACCCGTGTCGGAGTCGGAGCAAGCTCCGAAATCCGACCGTTTTCAAAAATGAGATTAATATTCTGACTCCCCAATGGGGAGTGTATCAGATATTAAGCTGATAAGAACAGATAAAGCGCTTTTATTTTCAGAATATGTTTCCTCAGGGACAAGTCCCTGAAGTGGTACATTTTCCAGGTTGTGGGCCTGGCCCCAAATGTAATATAAAGCAAAGAGAAAAAAAAAAAAACATATTGGTTTAATACAACGGGAGCAACTCCCGCTGCATACGTCGCGAGTCTTCCATATGCTAGCTCGACATTGCAATACTATAAAGAAGGGGCAAATGGCCCTGGCAGTGGGTCTTCTTTAAATTTTAACACACCCAGTGTTTGCGCTAAAAAAAAATATATAATCAATATAAATATATAAATATGTAAGAATATGTAAATAAAATATGTAAATAAATATCAGTCTTAATGTATCAATGCATCTAGTGAGTAAACGAGAATTAATGTTAATGTAAATATAAGAAGAAGAGATGAATAGAACATTGATACACTTAAGATTAAAATATGGGGCACCGACACATGTTTCATATTATATTATGCTTAGAGAAAAAGAAGAAAAAAAAAAAAAAAGAAATAGATAAATATATAGATAATAAATGTGCCAAAAAAAAAAAAAAAGTCAATATTTGGTCGGTGCTCCTCATGTTCGAGGAGATGAGGTTTCCCGGGCCTCGCCTTCTAGGTCCGCGTTGTCTCTAATATTATTATCAGTACTGGACACCGTGTACTGTCTAATGCCCGAGACATGCTCAACATACATGTCCCGGGACCACGCGATTGTTTCAGCGACCATCAGTTTCCGCATCAATGATGCGTATCGCGGCGAGATTCTAAGTAGTTCCAGGAGGAACTCGTTCCCCGGATCCCAGGCGCCCAGGGCGCCCACAATGAAAGCATCTAGGTACACTTTGTAGCCGCGCCCTTTCAGAGAATCAGCTAGTTGCTGGTACTTGTTAATTTTCTCGAATCTTGCCTCTACGATGGCCTGCATCGTATTTTCGAAGGGCACGGCTACATCGACCAGTACAATGGTCTTCGACGCTTCGTGCGTGACCACGATGTCCGGGCGAAGCGCCGAAGACTCTCCTGTCGCCCCGGGGACACGCCTGTTGATCCGGATCTCACCGGGAAGCCGGATCGCCTTACTCAACCTCAGGACGAGGTTGTCGTGCCGTCTCTGCCTGGCGGCAGAATGAGGACCGCAGTGGCAGAGCACATGAGGAAGGCTCTCCAGCGTGTATCCGCATCGCCTGCAGCGCTTATCATCGCTCCCCCATCGACGGGCTCCGTTTAACGGGAGCACGTCGAGGCGGGCGCGATGGATAAACCTCCAATCAGCAAAGCGGATAAACGCGCCACCCCTCATGAAGCGATTGCTCGCCGCATGTTGGGTGGTTGCCTGGAAAACCTTACCTTGGTCCGGCTTCCGAAGAAGCGAGGACACGTAGTGCTCCGTCACTGCAGCCCTCATCCTGGTGATGACATGTGCCTTGGCAAGAGGCGGCACGACTACCCGACGTCCGTTTCGGGATTCCATGACAATCGCGAGTTCAGCTCGATCATCGCACCACTCCCAGCGAAAACCGAGACGCGCTCCGGATCTCAGCGCGACGGACCGCACCCTCGACCAAAACGACGAACGACCAGTCGTTGGTCTTGACCAGTCCCCGGCCAAAGAGCCCGACAGGTACTGGGCAAGATCCCGATCAGTCGGAGCTCGACGAAGCTTCTCGCTCGCGGCAGCTTCCAGCGTGGACCTCGCGATACGAGCCACGACCGGGTCCTTAGCATTCAGCATCCTGAATGCGTGGGCCACGGCCGTGACCTCAGCGAGGTCTGCTATCGGAGGGAGTCCACATCCTCCCAGTGACGGGGGAATGTGGACTACCTCCGGGCTAGCGCGCTGGGGCAAGTGGAGCCATAGCTTAACCGTCCGCTTGATAGCTTTGTCAAGCTCCGACAGGATCGTTCGCCGCATATTGGCTCCCCTCAGCAGGAAATCGAGACGCGGGACAATAAATGTCGCCAGCGCCTCGACTCTCTGCCAGGGGGCAAGGAGTGAACGGTCCAGCGCGCCCAGATCCTCTAACACGCCTCGGATCGTGGTGTAGGGCGTCTGATCAAGCTGAACCCCGGTTGGGATCCCTAGGTGTTGGTAAGACTCTCCTTTTTCCAGAGCCGGAACGGGTTCCTCCTGGATACGGTACACGGTGTCCAGTACGTCGTCCCGGCCTCTTATGTGTAGGGTTGCACATTTCTTTGCATTAAAGGCGAGACCCAGGTTGGCTGCAATCTTCTCAATTTCTCGAAGCAAAGCCCTCATCTCCTCTTCGTTCTCCGCCAGCAGCGCGATGTCGTCCGCGTAGGCGAGCTCCACAATCCTTTCTCCCGCGATGTTGTACCCTGTAGTGGAGTCTTCGGCTGCGCGGACGACCGGTTCTAGCGCTAGATTAAACAGGATAGGGCTAAGGGGACAGCCCTGCTTTACTCCCGATCTTATTGGAACTCTATCTGTGTACCCCTCAGCGGTACGGACCCTCGTCGCGCAGTCTGTATACATACTGGCGACGATATTTGTCATCGCCCGCGGCACCCCGGCGTTGGAGAGCGACTCCAGGATAGTGGCGTGCGGGATCGATCCAAAGGCATTGGAAAGATCCAGCCACGCCACCACCAGTTCCCCCTTCTTCCTCCGGGCGTCGGCGATGCATTCCTGCAGCACGAAGTTGTGCTCAAGGCACCCCTCGTACGGCAGGAAGCCCTTCTGGCCTCGTGAGAGCCGTCGGTTTTGTACGGCCCAGTGAGTGAGGCGGTCGGCCATAACAGCGGCGAAGAGTTTCGGCACAGTATCACCCATCGCGAGTGGTCTCCAGTTGGACAAGTCATCCCGGTCACCCTTCTTATAAATAAGAACGGTGTTTGACTCCTTCCAAACGCGCGGAATATGCTCCATCCTGAGACAGGCGTTAAATAACGCCGTTAGGAGCGTGGCGCCTGGGTCAGCATCGCGCAAATCACCGTAGGTTACGCCGTCAGGACCCGGAGAAGATTTCTTCATCCGGTCCAGGCGGCGGCTCACCTCGGTGGCCGTACATGTCGACACCAGAGCGTCACTCCCCTGTGCTGTCTCGTAATGGACAGTCGGGAGGGGCCCCGCGCGATCCCGGAGAGCATACATATCTGCGAAGTGTCGCTGGACTACGTCCTTCGACACCTCACAGTGTGGAGAGGACCCTTTCAGAACCTCCCGCACCGCACGCTTCCGGTTCGCACGGAACAAGCGCTGAATGCGCGTCGCCTCCCGAACATATTCCTCGCGGTCGGCAGGAGTACCGGTCGTCGTCGAACTGTCCCTCGGACGGTGAGACTCGCCTTCCCTCCTCGCAGCCGGTCGTGGCCGGCCACCCCTCCCACTGGTGGCTGGATTTGCGGCCCGTTCGGTATCCACGACCCGATGCTTAACGAAGAACTCCGCCACTTTCGCAGCGAAGTCCTCCAGCGCCTGAAGCGTCGTCACCGTTTCGGCTTCCTCAGCGAGCCCTGCCCTTTCGACACCTATCGCTGCCCTCGTGCTCCTACGGAGCCCTTCGGGTCGGTCGGTGTCGGGGGTCGGTTCGTCGAGTCGGCCGGCGTGTGAGACGGCATCAGGGAGCCGTGTATCCCGACGCGGGTCGCGCCCTCTCCGGGATCCCCGGCGCTCAGGTGAAGTCGGGGACGTCATCCTCCCCCGCCGGTGCGTCGCGGGCGACTGTGGGGCCCGACCTCTAGGGGGTACTCTTCTATCTATCATTTCGCGGGATCTTGTGCTCGTGTTATTATTGGTGCCCCCTCGGCCACTCCTGTTCTGCCCGTTGCTCGGTCTAAAAACAGAGCCCCGGTTTGACCCGGGGCAATTAGTCGCGCTGCTAGCGGCATCACTTAACCTAGGACAATCACAATTACATCGACTAGAATTGTTATTCAAGTCGATAGGGCTAGTAGCCCTATCGACAGTCAGAGGTCTGCTACGAGACCCCCGCTCCGCCCCCGGAGGGGTCCTCACCACGCGTGGCCCCCGGACCACTTCCTCTTCGTGTTGCACTTGTTGTTGCTGCCGTGGCTGCCGCGCCGGCGTCTTCGGTGACGGGGTCGTCAATGCTCCCTCCTCTTGTTGCCGCCCAGCCCTTCTCCTCATGTTCCGCGGCGTGACGTCCCGCCAATCCTCCTCCTCTTCATCTACTTCTCTTCTTCTTCCTCCTCCTCCTCTACTCTTCGGTGCCTCCACCGGCGCCGCTGGTATAGCTGGCGACGCCTCGGCTATAGCAGGGAGAAGATTCCTTCTCCCGGTGCGCCCTGTAATGGGGGACGGTAGGGTGGAAGGTCCGTCCCCCTTCATCATCTTCACTAGTGTCGACCCGGGCGACAGAGTCTTCGCCCGGGTACTCCTTCTCGTTACAGGGCGCTCCTCCGGCGTCTTCTGGGTGGCCATGTCGCTCACCGTCGCACATCCCGTTGGCGGGCTCCTCTTTCCCTGGTTCCTTGTCCTGGGGGGGGTCCGAGGGGGCTCCGTGGTTGCCCTGGCAGCCCGCGCCCTGGTCGTCGGCGCGGACTCCAGGAGCACCGTGTCCTGCTGGATCCTCTTCTTGTGCCCCCTCGGCGAGGTTCCCCCCCCGCTCCTTCTTGACGCGACGGTGACGACGGCCACCGGTTTGCTATACACCGAGGTCGTCGTCAGGGTCAGTGTCCCCGCCGTCGCAAAGGTGCACGTCGCCGTCACTGGTCTGGTGGGGGGCGCTAAGGTGGTGGACGCGCCCCTGGCTTCCTCTTGCCTCGGCACGGGCGGGAGGGAGGTTGCCCGTGCCATTCTCCTGGTGGTCATGGTGGTGGTGACGGTCGACGTGCCCCTGGTTACCTCCGCGTAGGTGACGGCGGGGGACACCTTCCTGGTCGTGGTGGTGGTGGTGGTTCGTCGGGGCGGGCCAGGTTGAGGAGGCTCCGTAGTCGCCCGGGTACTCCTTCTCTTTGACCCCGGGCTCTTTTCCTTCTCTTTTAGTGGGGGGGTTAAGGTGGGAGTTACCCCCCCGCTTGGCCTCCTCATTGACGCTGGCCCGCCGCTGGTCCTCTTAGCGGCGCCGGTCCCCGCTGGTGGGGTGGTGAGGTCCACGGTCGGCGGGGTGGCGGGACTCCCCGTGGGTGGAGGTCGTCCATCAGCGGGGCTGGACGGCGTCCCGCTCTTCCTTGTCGCTGTCGTTTTCACGGCCCAGCTCGTCAGTAAGTTTCTCCCCGTCACCGATGAAGTGATTACTGGCTTCTTCTTCGGCGCGGTTCTAGTTTTGGCCGCCACGGTGGTCCGGGAGTTGGTTGGGGTAGATTTAGCGGCGCGCGTGAGCGCGCCTCCACGCGTGGTGGTCCCTGCCGTTTCCAACGGGGACGGGGAGGGCCTCTGGGTCGTCTCAGCTAGCGCCGCGTCAGGTTGGGGTCGCTTCTCGGCGCAATCACCCTCAGCCGGGGGTGCACTGCCGCCGTCCCTACTGCTACTACTCGTGCTGACCGACGGCCGCGCCCCAGCGGCACGAGGCTCTGCACTACCTTTATGTGAGTCTGCGTGGTGCTTCCTCACTTTCTTCAGTGCGTAGACACTGTCGTCCGTGAAGAAGCACACCCCGCAGACCCACTTTCTTTTTGCGCCGGGATGGTGGATGCGCAAATGCTTCCCAAGGTCCTCGTGCCGCTGGTACACGGCCGACCGGATCCAGTTGGACGGCACCCCTACGTTGCAGAAGGGGCAGGGGAATGTCTCGGGGAAGGGAAATGTTATTACAACGTCATTTCCCCTGGCAGTGCAGTTCGGCTGAGGGCTCGTCGTATTACTCATATTGGAATAAAATAAATAAATAATAAAATAAATAAATAAATGTATAAAATAGAGTAATAGTCGGTTAATAAAAAGAGAAAGAAAAAGTGTAGGGACTCCCCAGTCAAAAATAATTAAAACTTAAAACTAAAAAAAAATAAATAAAGTAAAAGTAAAATAAATAAATCAAAATAATAAAAGAAAACCTTAATCTAGTGACTAGATTGAGATCAAAAGAATAAAAACAAAACGAACGAAACGAGGACGACCGTGCGAGTCGCTCTCCGCGATAATTTGCAAATTAAATCTGCAAATTACCGCACACAGGGGACTAGACTGTTAATATCGAGTTACACAAGTTGTAAAGGGACCCGTGTACCTCGATAATTATCGGAAAAAGAATGATTAATCTACTGCAAATAGAAAAATTTCTAGCTAAATAGCTAGAATAATGGAATAAAGTCTACCCGTAACGGTCTAAATGTCTATATTTAGCCTATACGGGAGCACAAAAACTACAGCAAAAAGTGGATTTCGGCAAGTCGGTTGGTGGGACAAACAGCTGTTATCGGTTTAAACGACCAGCGTTCTCACGGATAACAGCTAAACATAGAATCAAAACAAAGCAAACGCGAGCAAAGCCGCACCGGAATCGGATTCGGCGCGAAAGGGTTTCGATGTACCGAAACAGTCCGCCTGGAGTCGACAGCGCTTTGCCTGCTCCAGGTGGCACCACTCTACAGTAACGCTACACTACGAAAAACCACCACCAGACTCCCAAGCTCCACTTACCGCGCAGTCAGTCGCCGCTGTGCTGAGCGAGTCGCATCGCCGTTGGAAAAGCCAGACGCGAGCGCGATCGCGGATAAAAGAAAAATAAAAATACAAAAAAGCACTAGACTAGAATAGAAAAGAGGAGTCAGAATATTTTTAGAAAGAAAGAAGAATGCAATGTGTTTAGAGTAGTATATGTGGGCCGCGTCCTGCGGCACTGCAAGGCAGGTACGACCCGTGTCGGAGTCGGAGCAAGCCCCGGAGTCCGACCAATTCCAAAAATAAGGTTAATATTCTGACTCCCCAATGGGGAGTGTATCAGATATTAAGCTGATAAGAACAGATAAGCGCTTTATTAAACAATTCATGTTTCCCCAGGAACAAGCCCCTGGGGGGATACATTTTGCCAAATTTTGGGCTTCGCCCTTTATAAAATATTTAAAAATATACTAATGCAGTGGGAGGAGTTCCCACTGCATATGTCCCGCATTCAAAAGAGTTATATTAGTCATTTAGATGACAAAAAGAAGGGGCTAATAGCCCTGGCAGTCAGGCTTCTTTTAACGCGCTAGATTCAGGATAAGCCGGAAATATGGATATATACTTATATAGTAGTATAGCCATGTAGATATAAAAAGAAAGAAGAGAGAAAATAGATAATAGTAATAAGAAGAAAAGAAAAAGAGGTAGATGTACCAGTAGAAATATATACGCATAAAACTTGAGTATGAGTGACAGGAACACCGCAATGCAATTTCATTAGACGGATGGATAATAATAAATAGAGGAAATGAGTGTATTGTATAAACTTAGAAAGAGAAGGAAAAATCCGTGACTATGTCGGTGTTCCTGCCAGTCGAGGAGATGAGGACTCCTGGGCCACGCCTTCCAGGTCTTCTGTCGCATTGTCTCTATTGTTTTCGTTGTTTTCAGTGCTGGACACCGTGTACTGTCTAATGCCCGAGACATGTTCGACGTATATGTCTCGGGACCACGCGATTGTTTCAGCGATCATTAATTTTCGCATCAGAGATGCGTATCGCGGCGAGATTCTGAGTAGTTCGAGGAGGAACTCGTTCCCCGGATCCCAGGCGCCCAGGGCGCCCACAATGAAGGCATCTAAATACACTTTGTAGCCGCGCCCTTTCAGAGAATCAGCTAATTGCTGGTATTTGTTAATCTTCTCAAACCTAGCATCTACGATGGCCTGCATCGTGTTTTCAAAGGGCACGGCTACGTCGACCAGTACAATGGTCTTCGACGCTTCGTGCGTGACCACGATGTCCGGGCGAAGCGCCGAAGACTCTCCTGTCGCCCCGGGGACACGCCTGTTGATCCGGATCTCACCAGGAAGCCGGATCGCCCTACTCAACCTCAGGACGAGGTTGTCGTGCCGCCTCTGCCTGGCGGCAGAATGAGGACCGCAGTGGCAGAGCACATGAGGAAGGCTTTCCAGCGTGTAACCGCATCGCCTGCAGCGTTTATCACCGCTCCCCCATCGACGGGCTCCATTTAACGGGAGCACGTCGAGGCGGGCGCGATGAATAAACCTCCAATCAGCAAAGCGGATAAACGCGCCACCCCTCATGAAGCGATTGCTCGCCGCATGTTGGGTGGTTGCCTGGAAAACCTTCCCTTGGTCCGGCTTCCGAAGAAGCGAGGACACGTAGTGCTCCGTCACTGCAGCCCTCATCCTGGTGATGACATGTGCCTTGGCAAGAGGCGGCACGACTACCCGACGTCCGTTTCGGGATTCCATGACAATCGCGAGTTCAGCTCGATCATCGCACCACTCCCAGCGGAAACCGAGACGCGCTCCGGATCTCAGCGCGACGGACCGCACCTTCGACCAAAACGACGAACGACCAGTCGTTGGTCTTGACCAGTCCCCGGCCAAAGAGCCCGACAGGTACTGGGCAAGATCCCGATCAGTCGGAGCTCGACGAAGCTTCTCGCTCGCGGCAGCTTCCAGCGTGGACCTCGCGATACGAGCCACGACCGGGTCCTTAGCATTCAGCATCCTGAATGCGTGGGCCACGGCCGTGACCTCAGCGAGGTCTGCTATCGGAGGGAGCCCACATCCTCCCAGTGACGGGGGAATGTGGACTACCTCCGGGCTAGCGCGCTGGGGCTAGTGGAGCCATAGCTTAACCGTCCGCTTGATAGCTTTGTCAAGCTCCGACAGGATCGTTCGCCGCATATTGGCTCCCCTCAGCAGGAAATCGAGACGCGGGACAATAAATGTCGCCAGCGCCTCGACTTTCTGCCAGGGGGCAAGGAGTGAACGGTCTAGCGCGCCCAGATCCTCTAACACGCCTCGGATCGTGGTGTAGGGCGTCTGATCAAGCTGAACCCCGGTTGGGATCCCTAGGTGTTGGTAAGACTCACCTTTTTCCAGAGCCGGAACGGGTTCCTCCTGGATACGGTACACGGTGTCCAGTACGTCGTCCCGGCCTCTGATGTGCAGTGTTGCGCACTTTTTAGCGTTGAAGGCGAGGCCCAAGCTGGCCGCAATCATCTCAATATCACGCAGCAGCCTCCTCATCTCCTCTTCGCTCTCCGCCAGCAGCGCGATGTCGTCCGCGTAGGCGAGCTCCACAATTCTTTCCCCCGCGATCTTGCATCCTATAGTGGAGTCCTCGGCTACGCGGATTACTGGTTCTAATGCCAGGTTGAACAGTATGGGGCTAAGGGGGCAACCCTGTTTGACCCCTGATAATATGGGGATCCTATCCGTATACCCCTCAGCGGTACGGACCCTCGTCGCGCAGTCTGTATACATACTGGCGACGATATTTGTCATCGCCCGCGGCACCCCGGCGTTGGAGAGTGACTCCAGGATAGTGGCGTGCGGGATCGATCCAAAGGCATTGGAAAGATCCAGCCACGCCACCACCAGTTCCCCCTTCTTCCTCCGGGCGTCGGCGATGCATTCCTGCAGCACGAAGTTGTGCTCAAGGCACCCCTCGTACGGCAGGAAGCCCTTCTGGCCTCGTGAGAGCCGTCGGTTTTGTACGGCCCAGTGAGTGAGGCGGTCGGCCATAACAGCGGCGAAGAGTTTCGGCACAGTATCACCCATCGCGAGTGGTCTCCAGTTGGACAAGTCATCCCGGTCACCCTTCTTATAAATAAGAACGGTGTTTGACTCCTTCCAAACGCGCGGAATATGCTCCATCCTGAGACAGGCGTTAAATAGCGCCGTTAGGAGCGTGGCGCCTGGGTCGGCATCGCGCAAATCACCGTAGGTTACGCCGTCGGGACCCGGAGAAGATTTCTTCATCCGGTCCAGGCGGCGGCTCACCTCGGTGGCCGTACATGTCGACACCAGAGCGTCACTCCCCTGTGCTGTCTCGTAATGGACAGTCGGGAGGGGCCCCGCGCGATCCCGGAGAGCATACATATCTGCGAAGTGTCGCTGGACTACGTCCTTCGACACCTCACAGTGTGGAGAGGACCCTTTCAAGACCTCCCGCACCGCACGCTTCCGGTTCGCACGGAACAAGCGCTGAATGCGCGTCGCCTCCCGAACATATTCCTCGCGGTCGGCAGGAGTACCGGTCGTCGTCGAACTGTCCCTCGGACGGTGAGACTCGCCTTCCCTCCTCGCAGCCGGTCGTGGCCGGCCACCCCTCCCACTGGTGGCTGGATTTGCGGCCCGTTCGGTATCCACGACCCGATGCTTAATGAAGAACTCCGCCACTTTCGCAGCGAAGTCCTCCAGCGCCTGAAGCGTCGTCACCGTTTCGGCTTCCTCAGCGAGCCCTGCCCTTTCGACACCTATCGCTGCCCTCGTGCTCCTACGGAGCCCTTCGGGTCGGTCGGTGTCGGGGGTCGGTTCGTCGAGTCGGCCGGCGTGTGAGACGGCATCAGGGAGCCGTGTGTCCCGACGCGGGTCGCGCCCTCTCCGGGATCCCCGGCGCTCAGGTGAAGTCGGGGACGTCATCCTCCCCCGCCGGTGCGTCGCGGGCGACTGTGGGGCCCGACCTCTGGGGGGTACTCTTCTATCTATTGTTTCGCGGGATCTTGTGCTCGTGTTATTATTGGTGCCCCCTCGGCCACTCCTGTTCTGCCCGTTGCTCGGTCTAAAAACAGAGCCCCGGTTTGACCCGGGGCAATTAGTCGCGCTGCTAGCGGCATCACTTAACCTAGGACAATCACAATTACATCGACTAGAATTGTTATTCAAGTCGATAGGGCTAGTAGCCCTATCGACAGTCGGAGGTCTGCTACGAGACCCCCGCTCCGCCCCCGGAGGGGTCCTCACCACGCGTGGCCCCCGGACCACTTCCTCTTCGTGTTGCACTTGTTGTTGTTGCTGCCGTGGCTGCCGCGCCGGCGTCTTCGGTGACGGGGTCGTCAATGCTCCCTCCTCTTGTTGCCGCCCAGCCCTTCTCCTCATGTTCCGCGGCGTGACGTCCCGCCAGTCCTCCTCCTCTTCATCTACTTCTCTTCTTCTTCCTCCTCCTCCTCCACTCTTCGGTGCCTCCACCGGCGCCGCTGGTATAGCTGGCGACGCCTCGGCTATAGCAGGGAGAAGATTCCTTCTCCCGGTGCGCCCTGTAATGGGGGACGGTAGGGTGGAGGGTCCGTCCCCCTTCATCATCTTCACTAGTGTCGACACGGGCGACAGAGTCTTCGCCCGGGTGCTCCTTCTCGTTACAGGGCGCTCCTCCGGCGTCTTCTGGGTGGCCATGTCGCTCACCGTCGCACATCCCGTTGGCGGGCTCCTCTTTCCCTGGTTCCTTGTCCTTGGGGGGGTCCGAGGGGGCTCCGTGGTTGCCCTGGCAGCCCGCGCCCTGGTCGTCGGCGCGGACTCCAGGAGCACCGTTTCCTGCTGGATCCTCTTCTTGAGCCCCCTCGGCGAGGTTCCCCCCCCGCTTCTTCTTGACGCGACGGTGACGACGGCCACCGGTTTGCTATACACCGAGGTCGTCGTCAGGGTCAGTGTCCCCGCCGTCGCAAAGGTGCACGTCGCCGTCACTGGTCTGGTGGGGGGCGCTAAGGTGGTGGACGCGCCCCTGGCTTCCTCTTGCCTCGGCACGGGCGGGAGGGAGGTTGCCCGTGCCATTCTCCTGGTGGTCATGGTGGTGGTGACGGTCGACGTGCCCCTGGTTACCTCCGCGTAGGTGACGGCGGTGGACACCTTCCTGGTCGTGGTGGTGGTGGTGGTTCGTCGGGGCGGGCCAGGTTGAGGAGGCTCCGTTGTCGCCCGGGTACTCCTTCTCTTTGTCCCCGGGCTCTTTTCCTTCTCTTTTAGTGGGGGGGTTAAGGTGGGAGTTACCCCCCTGCTTGGCCTCCTCATTGACACTGGCCCGCCGCTGGTCCTCTTAGCGGCGCCGGTCCCCGCTGGTGGGGTGGTGAGGTCCACGGTCGGCGGGGTGGCGGGACTCCCCGTGGGTGGAGGTCGTCCATCGACGGGGCTGGACGGCGTCCCGCTCTTCCTTGTCGCTGTCGTTTTCACGGCCCAGCTCGTCAGTAAGTTTCTCCCCGTCACCGATGAGGTGATTACTGGCTTTTTCTTCGGCACGGTTCTAGTTTTGGCAGCCACCGTGGTCCGGGAGTTGGTTAGGGTAGATTTAGTAGCGCGCGTTAGCGCGCCTCCACGCGTGGTGGTCCCTGCCGTTTCCAACGGGGACGGGGAGGGCCTCTGGGTCGTCTCAGCTAGCGCCGCGTCAGGTTGGGGTCGCTTCTCGGCGCAATCACCCTCAGCCAGGGGTGCACTGCCGCCGTCATTATTGTTACTGCTGTTGCTATTACTTGCGCTTGTACTGGCCGGCGGCCGCGCCCCAGCGGCACGAGGCTCTGCACTACCTTTGTGTGAGTCTGCGTGGTGTTTCCTCACTTTCTTCAGTGCATAGACACTATCGTCAGTGAAGGAACACACCCCGCAGACCCACTTCCTGTTTGCGCCGGGATGGTGAATGCGCAGATGCTTCCCCAGGTCCTCGTGCCGCTGGTACACGGCCGACCGGATCCAGTTGGACGGCACCCCCACGTTGCAGAAGGGGCAGGGGAATGTCTCAGGGAAGGGGAACGTTATTACTACATCATTTCGCCTGGCAGTGCAGCTCGGCTGAGGGCTCGTCGTATTACTCATATTAATATAAAATAAATAATAATAAAATAAATAAATAAATAAATAAATGTATAAAATGGAGTAATAATCAATTAGTTAAAAAGAGAACGTGTAGGGACTCCCCAGTCAATACTTAAAACTTAAAACTGAAAAATAAATAAATAAAATAAAATAGAATAAAACCTTAATCTAGTGACTAGATTAGAGGTATAGATAAAAGCTGAAACGGAACGAGAGGACGACCGTGCGAGTCGCTCTCCGCGATAATTTGCAAATTAAATCTGCAAATTACCGCACACAGGGGACTAGACTGTTAATATCGAGTTACACAAGTTGTAAAGGGACCCGTGTACCTCGATAATTGATCGGAAAAAGAATGATTAATCTACTGCAAATAGAAAAATTTCTAGCTAAATAGCTAGAATAATAGAATATAGTCTACCCGTAACGGTCTAAATATCTATATTTAGCCTATACGGGAGCACAAAAACTACAGCAAAAAGTGGATTTCGGCAAGTCGGTTAGTGGGACAAACAGCTGTTATCGGTTTAAACGACCAGCGTTCTCACGGATAACAGCTAAACATAGAATCAAAACAAAACAAACGCGAGCAAAGCCGCACCGGAATCGGATACGGCGCGAAAGGGTTTCGATGTACCGAAACAGTCCGCCTGGAGTCGACAGCGCTTTGCCTGCTCCAGGTGGCACCACTCTACAGTAACGCTACACTACGAGAAACCACCACCAGACTCCCAAGCTCCACTTACCGCGCAGTCAGTCGCCGCTGTGCTGAGCGAGTCGCATCGCCGTTGGAAAAGCCAGACGCGAGCGCGATCGCGGATAAAAGAAAATAAAAAAAGCACTAGACTAGAATAGAAAAGAGGAGTCAGAATATTAGAAAGAAAGAAGAATGCAATGTGTTTTATGTAGTATATGTGGGCCGCGTCCTGCGGCACTGCAAGGCAGGTACGACCCGTGTCGGAGTCGGAGCAAGCCCCGGAGTCCGACCAATTCCAAAAATAAGGTTAATATTCTGACTCCCCGATGGGGAGTGTATCAGATATTAAGCTGATAAGAACAGATAGAAAGCGCTTTATTAACAATTCATGTTTCCCCAGGAGCAAGCCCCTGGGGGGGTACATTTTGCCAAAGTTTTGGGCTTAGCCCCTTATAGAATATTTAAAAATATTTTGATGCAGTGGGAGGGATTCCCATTGCATATGTCCCGTGCTCAAGATAGTTAAGTGCTCAAATAATTTATAAAAGGAGCTAGTAGTCCTGACAATCAGGCTTCTTTTAACGCGCTAGGTCGGAATCAGTATCTTTATAGGTATCAAAAATATGGACATATACTTGTATAATAGTATAGCCATGTAGAAGTATGTAGTATAGAGTACGAAAAAAGAAGTGTGATAAATAATAGAGTCAGAAAATGGATAGATATTTATATAAATATAAGCATCGACTTCAATATAAGTGGCAGGAGCACCACAGTGCAATTTCACTATGAAAAAGAAAAAGAAGAGGAAAAAAAAAAAGAAAAAAAAATATAAGACTAACAAGAGAAACAATAGATAGATAAATAATAGTGGAGAAAAAGAGAGAAAGGAGAAATTAAATTAAATATAGTAAATAGAAGACCGCGACTATGTCGTTGCTCCTGCCATTCGAGGAGATGAGGACTCCTGGGCCTCGCCTTCCAAGTCATCCTCTGCCACGGTATCATTATTATTTTCAGTACTGGACACCGTGTACTGTCTTATTCCCGAGACATGCTCGACGTAAATGTCCCGGGACCACGCGATGGTTTCCGCTACCATTAGCTTTCGCATTAATGACGCGTAGCGCGGTGAAATACGTAGTAATTCCAGGAGGAACTCGTTCCCCGGGTCCCAGGCGCCCAGGGCGCCCACAATGAACGCATCTAGATAAACTTTGTAACCGCGCCCTCGTAGAGAATCCGCTAAATCTTTGTATTTGTTAATTTTCTCTAGGCGCGCGTCTGCGATGGCCTGCATCGTGTTTTCGAAGGGCACGGTTACATCGACCAGCACTACAGTCCTCGACGCTTCGTGCGTGACCACGATGTCCGGGCGAAGCGCCGAGGACTCTCCTGTCGCCCCGGGAATACGCCTATTGACCCGGATCTCACCGGGGAGCCGGATCGCCCTACTCAACCTCGTGACGAGGTTGTCGTGCCGCCTCTGCCTGGCGGCAGAATGAGGACCGCAGTGGCAGAGCACATGAGGAAGGCTTTCCAGCGTGTATCCGCATCGCCTGCAGCGCTTATCATCGCTCCCCCATCGACGGGCTCCGTTTAACGGGAGCACGTCAAGGCGGGCGCGATGAATAAACCTCCAATCAGCGAAGCGGATAAACGCACCACCCCTCATGAAGCGATTGCTCGCCGCATGTTGGGTGGTTGCCTGGAAAACCTTTCCTTGGTCCGGCTTCCGAAGAAGCGAGGACAGGTAGTGCTCCGTCACTGCGGCCCTCATCCTGGTGATGACGTGTGCCTTGGCTTGAGGCGGCACGACCACCCGACGTCCATTTCGGGACTCCATCACAACCGCGAGTTCACCTCGATCATCGCACCACTCCCAGCGAAAACCGAGACGCGCTCCAGACCTCAGCGCAGCGGATCGCACCCTCGACCAGAACGACGAACGACCCGTCGTTGGTCTTGACCAGTCCCCGGCCAAAGAGCCCGACAGGTACTGGGCAAGATCCCGACCAGTCGGAGCCCGGCAAAGCTTCCCGCTCGCAGCAGCTTCCAGCGAGTACCTCGCGATGTTAGCCACGACCGTGTCACCCGCATTCAGCATCCTGAATGCGTGAGCCACGGCCGTAACCTCCGCGAGGTCGGCTATCGGGGGGAGTCCACATCCTCCCAGTGACGGGGGAATGTGGACCACCTCCGGGCTAGCCCGCTGGGGCAGGTTAAGCCATAGCTTGACCGTCCGCTTGATAGCCTTGTCGAGCTCCGACAGGGCCATTCGCCGCATGTTGGCTCCCCTCAGCAAGAAATCGAGACGAGGGACAATGAATGTCGCCACCGTCTCGATCTTCTGCCAGGGGGCGAGCAGTGACTGGTCCACCGCGCCCAGGTCCTCTAACACGCCACGGATCGTGGTGTAGGGCGTCTGATCGAGTTGAACCCCGGTTGGGACCCCTAGATGCTGGTAGGGCTCACCTTTTCCCAGAGCCGGAACGGGCTCCTCCTGGATGTTGTACACGGTGTCCAGTACATCGTTCCGGCCTCGTAAGTGTAAAGTTGCGCACTTCTTCGCGTTGAAGGCGAGACCCAGGTTGTTGGCAGTTGCTTCGATGTTGTGCAGCATATTCCTCATCTCCTCTTCGTATGTCGCCAGCAGTGTGAGGTCATCCGCGTAGGCGAGCTCCTCGACCGTTTCACCCGCGATCTCATAGCCACCGGTCGATTCCTCGGCCACGCGGAGTAGGGGCTCAATTGCAAGATTGAACAGGATGGGGCTGGGGGGCATCCCTGTTTTACCCCTGATTGGATGGGGATTTTTTCCGTGTATCCCTCAGAGGTGCGGACCCTCGTCGCACAGTCTGTGTATAGGCTGGCGACGATATTTGTGATCGCCCGCGGTGCCCCGGCGTTGGAGAGCGACTCCAAGATAGTGGCGTGCGGGATCGATCCAAAAGCATTGGAAAGATCCAGCCACGCCACCACCAGTTCCCCTTTCTTCCTCCGAGCGTCGGCGATGCATTCCTGCAGCACGAAGTTATGCTCAAGGCACCCCTCGTACGGCAGGAAGCCCTTTTGGCCTCGTGAGAGCCGTCGGTTAAGTACGGCCCAGTGAGTGAGGCGGTCGGCCATTACAGCGGCGAAGAGTTTGGGCAGGGTATCGCCCATCGCGAGAGGTCTCCAGTTCGACAAGTCATCCCGGTCACCCTTCTTATGAATAAGAACGGTGTTGGACTCCTTCCAGACGCGCGGAATATGCTCCATCTTGAGACAGGCGTTGAACAACGCCGTTAAGAGCGTGGCACCTGGGTCGACATCGCGCAAATCACCGTAGGTTACGCCGTCGGGGCCCGGAGAAGATTTCTTCATCCGGTCCAGGCGGCGACTCACCTCGGCGGCCGTACATGCCGACACCAGAGCGTCACATTCCTGTGCTGTCTCGTAATGGATAGTCGGGAGGGGCCCCGCACGATCCCGAGGAGCGTACATTTCTGCGAAGTGTCGCTGGACTACGTCCTTCGACACTTCACAGTGTGGGGAGGACCCTTTCAGGACCTCCCGCACCGCACGCTTCCGGTTCGCACGGAACAAGCGCTGGATGCGCGTCGCCTCCCGAACATATTCCTCGCGGTTGGTAGGAGTACCGGTCGTCGTCGAGCTGTCCCTCGGACGGCGAGACTCACCCTCCCTCCTCGCAGCCGCTTGTGGCCGGCCACCCCTCCCACTGGTGGCTGAATTTGCGGCCCGCTCGGTATCCACGGCCCGATGCTTAACGAAGAACTCCGCCACTTTCGCAGCGAAGTCCTCCAGCGCCTGAAGCGTCGCCACCGTTTCGGCTTCCTCAACGAGACCTGCCCTTTCGATGCCTATCGCTGCCCTCGTGCTCCTACGGGGCACTTCGGGTCGGTCGGCACCGCGGGTTGGTTCGTCGGGTCGGCCGGCGTGTGGGACGGCATCAGGGAGCCGTGTGTCCCGATGCGGGTCGCGCCCTCTCCGGGATCCCCGGCGCTCAGGTGAAGGCGGGGGGGTCACTCTCCCTCGCCGGTGCGTCGCGGGCGTCTGTGGGGCCCGACCTCTGGGGGGTACTCCTCTTGTATTCGATTCGCGGGTTCTCATGTTACTGGTGCCCCCTCGGCCCCTCCTGCTCTGCCCATTCATGCTGAAAACAGAGCCCCGGTTTGACCCGGGGCAATTAGTCACACTGCTGGCGACATTATTTATTCTAGGACGATCACAATTACATTGACTAGAGTTATTGTTAAAATCGATAGGACTAGTAGCCCTATCGATAGTCAGTGGCCTGCTACGAGGCCCCTGCTCCACCCCCGTAGGGGTCCTTACCACGGGTGGCTCCCGGACCACTTCCTCTTCCCGTTCAAGTTGTTGCCGTGGCTGCCGCGCCGGCGTCTTCGGTGACGGGGTCGTCAAGACTCTCTCCTCTTCCTGCCGCCCAGCCCTTCTCCTCGTGTTCCGCGGCGTGACGTCCCGCCAGTCCCTCACATCCTCTTCATCTCCTAATCTTCTTTCCTTCACCTTTTTCTTTTCCATTTCCTTTTCCGTTTCCGTTTCCGGCGCCGCAGTGACCGCTGGCGACGCCTCGGCAATAGCTGGGAGGATCAACCTCCCCCCGAAGCGCCCTGTAGTGGGGGACGGTAGGGTGGTAGGTCCGTCCCCCCTCCTCTTCTCTTTCGTCGACCCGGGCGATAGAGTTTTCGCCCGGGTGCTCCTCCTTATTTCAGGGCGCTCCTCCGGTGTCCTTGAGGTGGCCACGTCGTTCACCGTCGCGGAGCCCGTCGAAGGTGGTGGGCTCCTCCTCAGCTTCGCTTGTTGTCTTGTCCTGGGGGGGGTCCGAGGGGGCTCTGTGGTTGCCCTGGCAGCCCGCGCTCTGGTCGTCGGCGCGGACTCCAGGAGCACCGTGTCTTGCTGAATCCTTTTCTTGAGCCCCCTCGGTGAGGATCCCCCCCCACTCCTCCTTGTAGCGACGGTGACGACGGCCACCGGTTTGCTGTAAACCGAGGTCGTCGTCAGGGTCAGGGTCCCCGCCGTCGCAAAGGTGCACGTCGTCGCCACTGTCCTAGTGGGGGGCGCTTGGGTGGTGGATGCACCCCCGACTTCCCCTTGCTTCGGCACGGGCGGGAGGGAGGTTGCCCGTGCCATCCTCCTTGTGGTCATCGTTGTAGTGGCGGTCGACGTGCCCCTGGTCACTTCAGCATACGTGACGGCGGGGGTCACCTTCCTTGTAGCGGTGATGATTCGTTGGGGCGGGCCAGGTTGAGGAGGCTCCGTTGTGGCCCGGGTGCTCCTTCTATTCATACCCGGGCTCTTCTCTTTCTCTTTTAGTGGGGGGGTTAGGGTGGAAGTTACTCCCCCACTTGGCCTCCTCATTGACGCTGGCCCGCCGCTGGTCCTTTTAGCGGCGCCGGTCCCCGCTGGTGGTGTAGTAAGGTCAATGGTCGGCGGGGTGGCGGGACTCCCTGCGGGTGGAGGTCGTCCATCAGCGGGGCTGGACGGCGTCCCGCTCCTTCTCGTGGTCGTTATCGTCGTCGCTGTCGCAGTTTTCTTTATGGCCCAGCCCGTCAGAAGATTTCTCCCCGTCACCGAAGCAGTGATCGTAGGCTTCTTTTTCGGCGCCGTCTTAGTTTTGCCAGCCACGGTGGTCCGGGAGTTGGTTTGGGTAGTTTTAGCGGCGCGCGTTAGCGCGCCTCCACCCGTGGTGGTCCCTGCCGCTTCCATCGGGGACGGAGAGGGCCTCTGCGTCATTTCGGCTATCGCCGCGTCGGTGGGTCGCTCCTCGGCTGAATCCCCCCCACCCGAGGGTGCACCGCCACTAACCCTTCCCGCGGGGGCAGATGTCCGTGCCCCAGCGGCACGAGGCACCGCATTATTTGCATGGGAGTCTGCGTGGTGCTTCCTCACCTTCTTCAGCGCATAAGCACTGTCGTCGGTGAAGAAGCAGACCCCGCAGACCCACCTTCTGCTGGCGCCATGGTGGTGGAGGCGCAGGTGTTTGCCTAAGTCCTCGTGCCGCTGGTACACGGCCACCTTCATTCGGGATGGAGGTGCCCCTTCATTGCAGAAGGGGCATGGGAAGGTTTCAGGAGGGGGGAAGGTGATGATAACTTCGTTACCCCGGGCGGTGCAGCTCGGCTGGGGGTTCGTCGTCGAAGTCATATTAAGATATATGATAAAATAAATAAATAAATAAATTGGTAAAATAAATAAAATAAAATAGTCAGTATAATAGAGAGCGTAGAATGTAGGGACTCCCCAGTCAATATTTAAGCCTAGCACTAAGATAAATAAATAAAATATGCAAAATAAAGAAAATAACGTCAAGGAATAAAATGAAATAAAATAAGCGGGAATATATACCTAAATAATAGTTATATACGTCGCGAGAATAAAAAAATGACTAAAAGAAAATAAATAAAATAAACGTAAAATCAAAATAGATAAACTAAAATAAAAATAAAAACCTTAATCTAGTGACTAGATTAGAGAGATCAGAAAGTAAAAAAACAAAACGAACGAAACGAGAAGACGACCGTGCGAGTCGCTCTCCGCGATAATTTGCAAATTAAATCTGCAAATTACCGCACACAGGGGACTAAACTGTGGATATCGAGTTACACAAGTTGTAAAGGGACCCGTGTACCTCGATAATTAATCGGAAAAATAATAATTACTCTACTGCAAATAGAAAAATTTCTAGCTAAATAGCTAGAATAATAGATGAAGTCTACCCGTAACGGTCTAAATGTCTATATTTAGCCTATACGGGAGCACAAAAACTACAGCAAAAAGTGGATTTCGGCAAGTCGGTTAGTGGGACAAACAGCTGTTATCGGTTTAAACGACCAGCGTTCTCACGGATAACAGCTAAACATAGAATCAAAACAAAGCAAACGCGAGCAAAGCCGCACCGGAATCGGATACGGCGCGAAAGGGTTTCGATATATCGAAACAGTCCGCCTGGAGTCGACAGCGCTTTGCCTGCTCCAGGTGGCACCACTCTACAGTGACGCTACACTACGAAAAACCACCACCAGACTCCCAAGCTCCACTTACCGCGCAGTCAGTCGCCGCTGTGCTGAGCGAGTCGCATCGCCGTTGGAAAAGCCAGACGCGAGCGCGATCGCGGATAAAAGAAAATAAAAAAAGCACTAGACTAGAATAGAAATAGAAAAGAGGAGTCAGAATATTAGAAAGAAAGAAGAATGCAATGTGTTTTATGTAGTATATGTGGGCCGCGTCCTGCGGCACTGCAAGGCAGGTACGACCCGTGTCGGAGTCGGAGCAAGCCCCGGAGTCCGACCAATTCCAAAAATAAGGTTAATATTCTGACTCCCCGATGGGGAGTGTATCAGATATTAAGCTGATAAGAACAGATATAGCGCTTTATTTTAACATTTGATGTTTCCTCAGGGACTTGTCCCTGAGGGATGCTCTTACAGCAGTCTTGGGCGTAGCCCTTCAGGTGGTATGATATAGTGGGATATTCTAATGCAGCGGGAACATTCTCCCATTGCATACGTCGCGTTCATAATATATTATAAAAGTCACCATTCGAGTATTATAAAGAAGGGACTAATAGCCCGAGGAGATCTTCTTTTTAATAGTTCTTAAGTACTATGCGCTAGATGTAATGATAGATCTATTTTCGAGCATAGATAGACCTATATGAAAATATGAAAATAAACATAGATATAGATATAGATATAAGAATAAATGCATATATAGGGTGTAAATCTAAGCTTGCATATAAATATAGAGCAGGTATAGGCATGA